TGGTGATTGAACCCAGGGGTGCTCTATCACTGAGCTATGCCCCTTGTGCTTATTTTTTTTTATTATTTTGAGACGGGTCTTGCTAAGTTGCCCAGTCTAGCCCAGAACTTGTGGTCATCCTGTCTTGGCCTTCTGTGTTGTTGGGATTCCTGGTGTGCACCCCCACTCCTGGCCTAATCCTCATTCTTGATGTTCTAGATAAAACAGAAGATGATGCTGACCGTGAGGCACAGCTCCTAGAGATGCGGTTGACTCTAACTGAGGAAAGGAACGCTGTGATGGTCCCCTCTGCTGGCAGTGGCATTCCAGGGGCCCCTGCAGAATGGTAGGAACCCCTCAGTTCTTGTGGAGTTCTGAGCATTCTCGAACCCCTGCTTTCCATTTGAGTTCTGGGTGTGCTGCTGTTAATGGAAGAGTCGTGATAGCATGTGACAGAGTTGTGTGAATTTAAGGAACTATTATTTTCATTACTAGAATAACTGTGGTCTAAAATAGCTGCTTTATTAAATAACGTTGTTATTGGTCAAAGTAATTAAGATTTCTGAGAACTTAAATCAATATTTAGTACCACTGTACTTATCATTAAAAAAATAGTTAATATGTAAATTACTTGGATTATTCATTCCCTTAGAAGACTGTTCAGTCATAAGAAAATTGCATTTGCACCAGTTTTTGATTTTGGTACCAGCTTAAATTGTACTGTCAGCAAATGTTCTGTGCCACTTTATAGAAATTAAAAATAGTAAGTTAAGCCACACAGAACCCTGGAGTATGTCCTTTAATAAGAAAGTATGTTGAAATGGGGCTTTATAGAAACAGATGAGTGGTCTTGCAGACCAGTTCTAGTGTCAGCGTAAGAAGTGGCAGTTACAGTTCAGTCTCTGTGGCATTTCTCATGTTAAATTGTAGGAGATCAGTGCCCAGGTGCTGTGGCCAGGACCGTGCTAGCCGTGAGTGTGTGCTGGGGCCATGTCCTCAAGTGTACTAGAGGAGCGTTTGTCTCTGTGTTTCAGGACACCAGTTCCTGGGATGGAAGCCCACATTCCTGTTATATTCCTTGACCTGAATGGTAAGTTCAAGGAGTTTCTGAAGGCTTACCTGGGCAAATCAGGTTAACGCTCAGATACTAACCAAGTGTGTCAGTACGCAACCTGTCCTCCTGAGGTTAGAGGCAATTTTTTGTGGCTCACACATTCTGATGCTGTTCAAAGACTGAGCTGTTGTAAGTCTTATTTTCCTAACAGCAGTAGACATCTGTTTCATTATGAGGCCTCCTCACATTTCACTGCTGCAACCCTGGTTCTGTGTGCATGCTTCCCCCATCAGTTCAGGATGGTGGTAATGTTTATCTGTATTAAAAATGTTTTCTTCTGGGCTGGGGCTGTAGCTCAGCGGCACTTCCCTAGCATATGTGAGGCACTGGGTTTGAGCCTTAGCACTGCATATAAAACCAAACAAATAAAGGCATGCTGTCCATCTACAACTATAAAAAAATGTTTTCTTGGCTGGGTACAGTGGTGCACACCTGTATTCCCAGTGACTTGGGAGGCCAAGGCAGCAGGATTGAAAGTTTGAGGCCAGCCTCAGCAACTTAGTGAGATCCTGTCTCAAAATAAGAAGTAAAAGGGGCTGAGGATGTGTGGATCAGTGGTAGGGCACCCTGGGTTCAATCCCCAGTACCACACATGCAAAAACTTTTCTCTTTATTCTTTAGGAAAGACTCCTCTCCAGAAGGGACTAATAATACTATGTAGCATGTGATACTATGTAGCATGTTTTCTTAACATTATATAATAATTTTTGTACCTTTTCTGTGAGTCCTTATGAGCTCATTCCTGGATTACCTTTTTTTTTTTTTTTTGTAAATAACTGTTGTCTGCTCCCCCCACAATGTACTCTGCCTGTAGGAGGAAAAAATAGGACATGAAAAGGCAAGTAAAGGAGCTAAAACTAAGTTAAATGACAGCAGTTAAATTCCTACAGCCTTTGAAAAAGAACTGTGTGGTGAAGGTTAAGGCCCCTAGGTAGACGAGCCGCGTGTCCTTGGTGGACCCCTTCCTCTGAGCAGAAAGTGGTGTGCCAGGGTTCTGCACCTGTGGCCCTGAGCTCGCTTGCATGGAGGATCCTCACATTTACCCAGAGGTAGAGTACTGGGCCCTGCCATGGTATGCGCAGGCACCTGATGGGGGGGAGCTATTTGTTTTTTTAAGTATTGCTACAAGACACAGTCCTGCCTGTTGTTCTCTAGAACCTTGGGGACTGAGGGTGACTCTGGTCTCTTAAGTTAGGCTTCCCAGATAGGTGAGGGCCATGTACGTGTGTTTGGGGGGGGTTGTATAAGAAGTGTGTGGGGGGGAAGAGCCCGAGGAAGAAGGCCTGTTAGTCTGGATATTTGCAGAGATGATCAGGACTTTGTTGAGTGTTATACATGCTCTTAGTCCACCCAAGCCCACTAGTCCTTTTTTTAAATTTTTAATTTGTTCTTTTCAGTTTTACATTGCAGTATATTTTGACACATTATACAAACATACATGAGTATAACTTCCCATTCTGTGGTTGCACATGATGTGGAGTTGCCCTGGTCGTGTATTCATATATGAGCCTAGGAGAGTGATGTCTGATTCATTCTATTGCTTTTCCTATTCCCATCCCTCCACCCCCACTTGCTTTTGATGCTTGTGCATTAGCTTAAGGTGGATGGGGACTGGGAGAGGGTTGGGCTGGGAACGAAACACCATGATGCGTTCCTAAGTAGGGCCTCTGGCTCATGTAGTCAGTCGATCTTTTTGTTGAACTTAACTGTCAAGTAACTGGAATCACTCCCGTTTATTTCTCATTTTTTCAGTTCATTAAAAGGTGGGGCATTTTGGTTACAATCCTGTCATTACATGGGTGAGCAGACCTTGGGTTACCTCCTAGGTGTCTTGGCTTCCTTTGCCTCCCGTGTGAGATTAGATGTAAAGGGAGCATTGAGAGAGAGATGATTTCTTGAGGCACTTTCCCTCTAAGATCTGTGAACTCTTAAATGGGCATCATTGTGTCACGTGAGATTGCGTAGCAAAAGCAAATGAAATGTGAAACACAGTTTTAATAATAAGTACATTGAAATTTAGCTGGTCAGGGTTACCCTTGAGGACCATCTCCAGGTTTAACGGAGCCTCTTTGCCGTCAGCTGATGATTTCAGCTCTCAGGATAACCTTGACGACCCAGAAGCTGGAGGATGGGATGCCACCCTGACTGGGGAAGAGGAGGACGAGTTCTTTGAACTCCAGGTCGTGAAACACCATGATGGAGAGGTGAGTCAAGCAGAGCTCGGGAGGGTCAGATAGGAACTAGTTCCATAGACTTCCCTGGAGCCTCTGGAAGCAGTCACCAGGTGGTCATTTCAGTGCATCTGCTTCTCAGCCAAAGCCCGTGGACGCCTTTCCTTCTGACTTCCAAAAAGAGTGAGGCCTGAACATTCCATGTTGCCCATTCACCTTCCTCCTCCCTCTCCGGGTGAAGGATCGTGTCCGTGTGGCCCATGCAGGCCGGCAGTGGTCAGCAGCTGTCCTCTGTCCTCAGCGCCTGGGGTGGAAGTTGAACTGCTAAAGCACAGGGAGTGTGGATGTCACCACATTTGGGATTTGCTTTAAATTGTTTCATAAAAACTTTTTGAAAGGAGGAAAAGAACAGATGAAGGTAGTGTGTTGAAATCTTGATTTAAATGCTTGAAGCTGTGTGATGGGTATATCTGGGGGCTTTAGTCCCTACTTTCTAATATGCTTGAAAAATTACATCATGAAGTGTTTCAGGGAGGAAAGCTGATGTATTTCTAAGATGCAGAGCTGAATTCAATGTGAGGACACACTCGGGCACTCGCTCTGAGCTGCATGCTCCAGGTTGGCGGACAGGCAGGCCCTTCCTCGAGGACTGGGGCCTGTTGCAGATAAAGTGGGTGGTGGGATATGGCAGCCAAATGCACTGTATGACCTGGGGCAGGGGAGAGGGAAACATTTGAACACAGACTGTATCTACGGTGAATCTCCTGAGTGTGGCAGCTCTCTCTCACTTACTCCAAAGTGATTCAGCAAAAGTAGTATGTGTGTGTTGGTTGTGACAAAGAAAAGCAAAAGTGACCAAATCCTGACAATAGGTAGATCTCAAAAGGCGTATAGGAGTCCATGGAACTGACTTTTGCTACTTTTCTTGATGTTTGAGCACTTTTTAAAATTAAAAAAAAAAAAAAAAAAAATGAAGAGCAAGCAGCCCAGCCAGGAAAGCCCCTGCTCTCTGCTCTCTAGACTCAGGTGCCGGAGGCCACATCCTCACAGTCTTGTCTTTTCAGAGCGGTCCGCACAGGAGGACGTTAGCCTAACCTTGGTTTCTTTGGTGGAAAGCACAGTGCATTGTCTTACCTTCTCTGCAGGTGAAAGCAGAGGCCTCCTGGGACTCCGCAGTGCATAGCTGTCCTCAGCTCAGCAAGGGCACGCCCACAGACGAGCGCCTGTTCCTGATTGTGCGTGTAACAGTCCAGCTTAGTCATCCCGCTGACATGCAGCTGGTCTTACGCAAAAGAATTTGTGTGCACGTTCACGGCCGGCAGGTGAGGCCTTACTCCTACTCAACAGCGTTTTCACCACAGCCCGCCTGTGGCCAGGGCTGTGGAGTGGTCACTCTGGCCTGAGACATTGTCTAGAAGAGTGACTGTGCCATGACTGTGCTCACTCCGGTCCCCAGGCTGCCATTCTGACTTCCTTCTAATAGTACTAGATTGTTACACCGAATCTCTTTAGGGCAGATCCGCCAGTGGCAGCTGTTCTTGGGGTGCCTCGGGCCCTGCCCGGGCAGGTTCGGCAGTCCTGTTGCCTCTTCTTGCTGTTCCCTGGCAGATCAGCTGTTAGTTTATTAGCACGGGCTGCTTATGCTTCTCTTTCTAGGCCTTTCTTTCATAGCAGTACTTGCCTTTGGGTTAAAAAGGTGAGTAGGAAACAATGTGGGGCTGTACAGGGCAAAAGTGTCCTCACCGAAGCTCCCTGAGCAGCAGCTGCTGTGCTCTATGCTGAGTGCTGGGGTGTGGGCCTCACCATGTGCCAGAGAACAGACTTCAGACAGAGGGAGGGAGGGCTGTGCAGAGGAGCATGCGTTGAGCTTGTACCGCACAGAAAGAGCGTTTCATGGGGAGGAGGAGAACACTTCTGCAGAGATCGTGAGGCGGGAGGGCCAGGGCAGCTGGGGAACTTAGGGACTGCAGTGTGGTGAGATGAGCCCATGCCAAGGAGCATGGTTGGGAAGAACCTCATGCCACACGAAGGGTTAGGAGGGAATGTCTAGGCTTTTCAAATATAAGGATCTGGGAGGTCGACCCACGGATCCTAATTAACCGTCTCGCTCCCTTCTGTGAGGCATTCTCAAACTGACTGAAACCAGGACAGATGAAAATCAGTCTTGTCATTTAAAAGAGCACAGTCATGGTTGACAGACTCCTAAATGTAATCTCCTCCCCTAAAAATTAATCTTTAGTTCTAAATGTCACACTGGTATCAACCTCTGAAGTGAGGACTGGCCGTATGCTGTTGAAATGACAGCTCTTTAACTGCCAGTCCCACATCAGGAAGACCCCGGCCACAGGGTGAGCGCAGATGCCCACGCAAGTCTCCATGCACTCGTGTCTGGAAGGGCTTGAATGAGACACGCTGCTCTTGGGGAACATTTTGAAGAAAGGGTTTCCATTCCAAATCACCCATCCTGGTTGGCAGGCCCTGAACCTGCCTGGCAGAGTCACCAGCCCTTCAGCGTCCCCCACACAGAGGGCACTGTTTGTTTTCACTGTAGGGACAATGAGTTGCTACTTTTCTTCCTGGTATTTTAAAGACATGCCATTTCCCCTCCAATCTAAGATATTTCATTGCTGTACATTGCTTCTTTATAGCAAGGACAGGAACTTCCACGTGACCCGTTTCTATTTGTATTCCATGCAAATAGAAAACAAAAGAGTGCAGTAACAATGGCATTCACACTGCCCCCACTACCCGCCTCGAGGTAGTAGCTCAGTAATAGCTCAGAGCCACCCATTGCCCACAGTGTCCCTGACCTTGGCTCTGCGCTGTGAGACCAAAGTCCAGGCATGAAGGATGAAGTCGATGGTCTTTGCATTCTGAGGGGCTCAGATCTTTTAAAAATTGATTAAAAATATTGACTGGGAAATAAGTTCTTATTAGGTTTGTGAAATTATGCATTTTTGAGACTAAGTGGCTTGATTTTTGTCTTTCCTTTGGGTTTTTAATTTTTTCCAGTCACTGCCTTCCCTTTTGCTTAGGGAAAAGGGCTCCATGCCCGTTTCCTGTTCTCTCGTCCTTATCTTTATTCACCAATTGTATTCCGCCCTCATCGCTGCTCTCCTCAACCTCTACAGGATGCTCAGTCTTAGCAGCATCTCCAAATGAGTCATCTCTGCATTAATTCAACAGTTCAATTCTGAACTGTGCAAAGAGCGCAGTCAGCATAAACAATGACCAGGCACTCTTAAATCATTCTTTATAACGATCCTGCTCTGGTCAAGAATTTAATGCCCGAACTTGTCAATATTCATGGTACAAAATGTCCATCGTACTGGGAGGGAGAAGCATAAGCGTCACCGGTCCTTGCTTACATCCTCTTTGGAAGGTCATTTCATGTGTTTTATTTCTATAGTGTTGAAGCAAAGTTTATCCAGATGCCTGGGGCCAGTTTCCAAGTCTGTCCTCGTGTGCTTGGTGTGGGGACCTGTCACTGTAGACTCCTAGTGGTTTGGTTCTGTGCAGGGGAGGAAGTTGAGGAAGCTGTATTTAGTGATGTGAATTTCATTGCCTTATGTTGGAAATGTGCTGTTTCCATTTGATCAGAACGAACATAGTATCCTTCATGCTACCTCTGTGCTAGTGTAAACTCAGTTTTTGAGGCAGAAAACTTTATCTTCTGTTTTGTTTTTCTCTAGGGTTTTGCTCAAAGTCTCCTAAAAAAGATGTCTCATCGAAGTTCTATTCCTGGATGTGGAGTGACCTTTGAAATTGTCTCCAATATTCCAGAGGTGAAGGATCATATGCAATTTGAATTTACTAAAAATAAGAACTTAAAAAGAGGTAACTCCCTGAAAACTCACGTATGCAAGAAATACATATTAACTGAAAATGTGTACTTAGGGAAATGCTGGAGGTTTCTAGAGGAATTCCTAATCTTAACTCAGAACACAATGAATTCGCGGCCTTAGCAGTTCTAGATTGTGTTTTGTTAAAGAAGAGCTTTCTTTTGAAAAACATCTCAGCATCTTTTTGCTCACGGCACACCGAAGAAGACAAGAGCATAGACATGTGGCGTCACCCTCAGGGAGGCAGCCCAATTCGGTGTTGAGATTCGTGCTGGATTTTGGAATCAAACAAGTCTCATTCTTATCTCTTATTAGCAAAGTGACCTTGGGTCAATTACTCTGAATGTAATTTTTTTTTCAAATGGGGTTAGTCATACATTCTACGCAGGGTTGTTTTTAATGGTTAATGAAACAGTGTGTGTAAAATGTAGTCCACATGACTAGGCAGTAAGTCATGGCTGCTGTGGCCATTGTTATATGAGTATTAATGTTTTACTGCCACTTCTACTATTTCCCTTTGTGAATTAGTTGAGATATATTCTGAGGATTCAGATGATTCTGAGGATTTGGTGATTGAAACATGATAAGCATGTGGCTCATACACACTCCTAGTACTTAAGCCCTGAATTAGCTTCATTTGCTGGGCTGGGCAAGGAAGTGTCCCTTGTAGGGACAGAAGTGTGGGTCCTCAGAAGAGGACTCTGAAAACACAAAGGAGTGGTTCCTTCTCCTTCCCTCATTGTCAAAAGGGGAGTGAGAACAGATGGAGTTTCCTGGGGAGTGAAGAGATGGGCACAGGGCACAGCCCCCGCCCTGATCAGCACTGCATCTTGACCTGCATTCCGTACCTCAGGAATGTTGATGGATTCTGCTACCTGTCTGCGTTGCAGATGGGCGATGTGTGTTCTACAGCAGGAGCCAGACCCTGAGAAGGAAACAAGTAGACTGCACAGCACTTGGGTTTTGCTTTAGATCTCTTGTATTGCAAGACACTTTACTTCTCTCCATTAGTGTCCAATGGTTCTTTTCTAGATTTTTAAAGTTAGACTTAGATAGAAACCATTAACTGCTTAACTGTTTAATTTGGAGCTTTCTGAGCATTTAGAAATTAAGATGTTTGCAGAGTTGAGTCTACTGTGTAATCTTTGGTCTGAAGAAGGATCACTCTCTGTGCTTCATTCATTTGTTTGTAAGATTTTAAACAAGTAAACTTACACGTTTTGCTGGAGTCCTAACATTTATTCCCTGTATTTTGTTTTCTGCTTTTCCTCTCTTGGACCTTCACTTTGTCAAAAGGGGAGGGAAGAGATGGGCACAGGGCACAGCCCCTGCCCCTACCTAGGAACTGTCTTCCTTCTTTCCTTTTCCGCTACAGCTCCCTCTTCTTTCCTTGGAGGTTTCTTATTGTCTTTAAAAGTGCTTTATTTTTCGGGTGATAGTTTTAAAAGAGAAAACATGTGGGGGCAGTCAGTTTGGAGACAATACCCTCACAGGATGAGGTGTTGATAGCTAGCTGAGCAACTGAGTGGTAGACCGTTGTTTCTACATTATCAAATCCTGATGATAAAGAAAAAGGAAAAGGGAAACTTAAAGCTTGTGTGAGATTAGTCTTAGATGTAAAATGAGAAGAACCTTTATCAAGGGCTGGGGATGTGGCTCAAGCGGTAGCGCGCTCTCCTGGCATGGGTGCGGCCCAGCACCACATACCAACAAAGATGTTGTGACCGCCGAGAACTAGAAAATGAATATTAAAAATTCTCTCTCTCTTCTCTGTCACTCTCTCTTTAAAAAAAAAAAAAAGAACCTTTATCAAGCTAGGGTTTCATCATGAAAAAGTCTCATGTGTGCCTTGTGTTGCATGTTCCAAAAGCCATGAGAAAGGAGCGGTCTAGCCAGATGGCAGCAAGACAGGTTCTGTCTCTCTCTGGGAAACTGCTCCTACAGCCTCTCACTAGCTCTGTGTGGACTGGTGAGAGGGGTCCTCAGTGCCTAGGAGTTTAGGCCCAGGGGCTCCTCTTGCCTCTCTGGCTAATCGTGGCTGATTCCTCTCTCCATGGTCATCACAGGCCCAGAGGAGACTGTAGGAGACAGTGTCTTGGTGAACTTAAGCCAGTTGATGAATCTGCCTGTATTTGATCTGTTCTAAGACTCGTTTATAGTCTTTAAAAAAGTCCCTAAAATTAGAAAGCCTTATAACTGATGGTATCTTAAAATTAATTGGCAGGTCTTTTTCCTTAGTTGTGTATAAATGTTCGTCTTATGTTGATGGCATTTAAGATGTGATAACATCTGGATGTGCATCGTGTAGTTTTTTGTATAAGAAACTCACAAGTAAATGTAGTACCTGATTTTCCCTGAGAAGAATTTGCCATGAAGATGTTTTTCTTGAAACAAGGACATACATGAATAAGATCACACATTAACAGACCCGTGAGTTTCCCGATCACTTGCATGGCCAGCTCAGGCCAGCTTGCTCAGAGGCATAGGATGGCCTCTACTGGAAGCAGGCCAGTGAGAAGTTGCCGCCATTCTTCCTTCTGGCTCTGAGCCTGTGGCCCCTGCAGCCCAGAGTGAGGATGGACACTGCGTTGAAGTTCTGCCACCCATGATGGGCTGCTCTGAGTTGCCCCAGAGCTGTGTGCCTGCAGCGCTCTTGTCCTAGTGGCCTTATTTCTGGCTGGCCCACAAAGGTGTTTCTGACCAGTAACCTGTTTTCTGCAGTGGACATAGAGTAGGAGCAGGGTTGTCAGAAGGTGCTTCTGCAGCTTTACCCTTCACGTCAGCTGCTGCCCGAGTCGCCACATCACAGTTTCTGTGGAAAATTCCGAGTTCCAGAAGCCGACATGAATGGGAGTGTTTGAATCTCTTCCCTTTGTCAATTCAGAACACCTGGAGTGGACCGAGAAGCTCTTGGGCACTGCTTGATTTCAACAAATGGTGTTCTCTTCTGCAGGAGGCCCAGGGAGTGGAGGAGCGAGAGGCGTTAGCAAGGATGGCTGCCAACGTGGAGAACCCGGCTTCCGCCGACTCAGAGGCGTATATCGAGAAGTACCTGCGGAGTGTGCTGGCTGTGGAAAACCTGCTGACCCTGGATCGCCTGCGCCAGGTCAGCGGTGTCCTTGCTTGGCCTGGTCCTACACCTGTCCAGCGTGATTGCGTGTGAATTCTAGTTAACCTTGAATAGCCTAAGTGATGAAATGATGTCATTCTGTCGTGCCAAGTGACAGCCCTCATGTAAGCGTGAGGGAAGCCTGCTGCAGACTGGGTTGCTCTGGGCGCACCTGTAACTGCCTTCCCCTGCCTGTGTTCTGATTCCAGGAAGTGGCCGTGAAGGAGCAGCTGACGGGGAAAGGCAAGCTGAGCAGGAGGAGCATTAGCTCTCCCAATGTGAACAGAGTGAGTAGCCAGCTGGCTCGGGGGGCAGCCAAGACCCTTCTCTCCTCCTTGCTGGGCTAAATGTGGGCGCCTTGAGCCCCCAGGTGACACTCCCTTCCTTTCCTCAGGGACGCCTGGGCCCTTCGCTCCACCTCCTGCTGCTGTGGGAGCCCTTTCGTGCCTTCCACACGTTCTCCTGTCTGCCTGCCACCACAGCTAGTGTACCTGTGGGGTCACAGGTGTCTGTGGAGCTAAGCCCAGGGTAGCCGCGTGCCAAGGGCAAGCCAGCTTGGCTCCTCAGCTGGAGTCGATCATTTTTATGTTGAGAAGTCTGGAGTAGGTAGTAGTAGATAGTTTGTGAATTTCCATTTACTACTAGCACCCAGAGAAAGGGCTCAGGCCATGGTGGGTGGCCTCAGTGCACGCCCACATACTGGTCTGTGATAAGCCTCCCACCAGAACACTATCGGTGACCAGCTCAGTGTTTCCATGTCCCAAGGGCACTGGTCTTGATTTGGTTCTTAGATGAGAGGTTTCATGCTTTCACAACTGAAGTATTGATCCCCTGCCTCCGTTTCTTCCCAGTTGTCTGGAAGCCGGCAAGACCTTATCCCCTCGTACAATCTGGGCGTCAACAAGGTAAAGGCGGTCCCTGTTCCTGTCTGTTTCGGTCTGTTTCCATTCAGCCTTCCTCTGCTCACCTCTCCCAGGCGAACTTTGCATGCCAGAGTTCTTCCTGCTCCTCTGCACCGTGTGGCATTTACTGGGAGATGTTTAGAGTTCGTTTCTTCTAATCTGCCACAACACCCTCTTATTACTGGGATTAAAAAACAATTTCTTTTTTTTTTTTTGCTAATATTTCTATCTACAGTATTCTCTCATTTCTGCCAGAAAAGGAATTTCATATCAGCTTTTGAATAGTGAAGTATTGATATAGTGATTCAAAATTTATAAGGAAGAAGACAATTATACCTGAAAGTTAATAGTGTTTGTTAAAAGGAAGAAAAATCAGGGAACAGAAATTTTATTAGCTAGAATTTACTTATGTTGTTGTTAATACAGCTTTGCCCTGTAACAGAGTTTCCAGCAATAGAAACTCAACACTGTTTACTTGAGGAAGGTTGGTGCTCCTGTACCCATCTTTTTGGAAGCCTGCATGTCATAGTTGGTGCCTGTGTTTTCTGAGGGACCTAGTCAGTGCTGGTGCTGGCCTGTGTCATGCTCCCTAATAATGCTATGGCCCTGCGTTGGCGGTGGTGTTGCTATGTGAGTGCTGTGGCGTGGGCTGCCTCAGAATCACCAGGGGCGAGAGGTCGAAGGGCTTTTCAGTGGCAGTCAGCATGGCTCAGTGGGCTCTTGATGCTCTTTCTATATACTGCTCTTTCTCTACTTGATAATTTTTCTTTTCTTTTTTTTTTTGATAATTTTTCTATACTCCTTTTGCATGTTTGACATTTTCCTTATAAAAATTTACAGTGAAAAAGAAGTTAATAATGAAGGACTTATTTTAAGATCTAGATTATTAGTGGTTTGCCTAAACACACACACACACACACACACACACACACACACACACACGTAAACTACTCTTCTTCAGTTTACTGATACACTACATGTGTGTGGGTCTCTTAGTTCTTATTTATGCTAGAACACTGAATTATTCAATTAGTTCAGCTTAGGACCTGAAGAAAACAGAATTCTTGAAAACTTGATTGTATAGTGTTATTTTTTTGGGGGGGGGGTACCTGAGATTGAAACCAGGGGTGCTTAACCACTGAGCCACAACCCTCCCTGCCCTTTTAAAGTTCGAGACAGGGTCTCACTAAGTTGCTTAGGGTCTTGCTAAGCTCCTGAGCCTGGCTTTGAACTTGTGATCCTCCTGCCTCAGCATCCTGAGCCTGTGGGATTTTAGGTGTGTGCCACCACACCTGGTTTGAATAGTGATTTTTAAATGTGAATGAAGAGTGTATCTTAAGGAAAATGTAATAACAAGCATGACTTCCTGTGTTTTGGGAAGTATATATGACCCAGATCTTCCTGCTATCTTTCCTGTCTCCCCTCACTTTCCTTGTCTCAGAACGGAGACAGTCATAGCATCTGTTTCAGAGAGCATGGCTGTGCTTCATCCACACCCAGTGCACAGACCGAGGCACACAGATGCTGCTCTAGAGGTCGAGACACACACAGTGAGAGCACCTGGAGGCAGTGCCCGCTTCCCAGGCATCCTGCAGGGACTGGGAGGGCCTCAGGCAGGGAGGCTGTGTGGAGCCTGAAGGGCTGTGCAGAGGGGCACACAGGCAGGCGAGGAGTCGGAGCCCCTGGTTCCCGGCAGAAGCACCCACGTGAACACAGGCCCAGGAAGATAAGCTTGGCCTGTTCACGACAGCACCTGCTGCCAGTCAGTGGCGGGAGCTGCGGCGTGTGCCCATAGCTGAGGACTTGTTTATAGGGCTAACCCCTATAACCTCCTTGCCAAGGAGTGATGGGGCCGGGAGGCCATGGGGAACTGGAAGACAGGGCGGGGATTGGCCCACATTTGAACTGGACAGTTGGCTTGAATGGTCCAGCTGAGCTCTACCTGTTCCGCGCAGGCCAGTGTAGTGTGTAAGCTTACACCAGCAAACTATACAGTGCAAAGGTGAGAGACACTTGTTTGAATTAGAAAGTGGGAGAGCAGCTAGGGGAGGGAGAGAGGAAGAGAGATGGGATGCTAGGAGAGATGGACCCCAGAATAGAGAAATGGACTCTAGGAGTCGGTGGACATGAAGGAGGCTGAGGGAGGGAGGACGAGAGTGAGGCCCGGGTTTGGGTGACTGCGAGATCACTGAGAGATGAACCTCAGGAGGAGCAGGTTTGGGAAATTCTACTTCTGAGGTAACAAGATTGAAGATGAAGCCAGGGCTGGGGCCAGGTGAGGGAGCCCCAGGGACAGTGGAGACAGTGCAGGGAATTAGGTGTCGCTGGGGGCTGTGAGGGAGGGCTGAGAGGTCAGGGTTGGGAGTGCCGGGGAAGTGTTACAAGGACCCCTTCCAGCTCTTGAGAGGGTGCATGAAATGAGGGCTGGCAAGACTGCTTGGGACGTGGCACAGAGGGTTTCTCTGCACCTTTCCAGGGCCATTTCTGCAGGGGGTGGGAGAAGCCCAGGGTCTTAGTAGGACATGTAATGTGTTTTAGTCAGAATCGTCATCGCCATGACAAAAAGACCTGGCAAACAGTCAGGTTTCGGAGGTCTCTGTCCATGGTCAGCTGACTCCACGGCTCTGGGATCCGGGAGAGGCAGACCATCATGGTGGAAAGGCCTGCCAGAGGAAGGCAGCTCAGAGCTCTCGGCTCAACAGGGCCAAATATAATCCCAAAGGAGATCCCCAGTGACCTCCTTCCTCCAGCCACACCCTACCTGCCTACAGCTACTACCCTGTTAATTCATGTTAGTAGATTAATTCATCAGCCAAATTACCCCCTCATCACCCACTCATTCCACCTCTGAAAATTCTTGCATTTTTTCACACATGAGCTTTTGGGGGACATTCATATTTAGACTATAATATAACTTTAAATGCATAAAGGGAACATTACACATTTTTGTTGTAGTGCTGGGGCCTTCCTTCCCTTCTTTAGTTCTTGATTTGTTGGGGTGCTTGAGTAACTTGGTAAAGAAGAGGAAAGTGTCATTTCCTCTTTTGCTCGTGTTGTGATGCCAGTGTGGGGAGAATGGTCTGGCTCTTCCCTCCCTCTCCATTCCCGTAGCTCTTGACTGTAGCAGAAAGGTTCTGCTTGTGTTTGGGGTTTGCACTGTCCTCTCACACCCACCCTGACTGTAGCAGTCCCCCTCTGAGAGCAGAGAAGTGTTATTGGGAAAATCAGAGGGTGCTACTTGCTAGTCCCAACCGCACACCCATTTCAACGCGGAAGCATCTTTTTGTCTTCTTTTGAAGCTGAAAGGCTACATCTGAGCTGTAGTCAGTCCTGGTCATTGCCTCATGTCCAGATCAGGAGGTGAAAGGAAGGTCCACAGGTTAAAATGAGAGCATAGTTGCTTTTGCACAGGGACCAGATGAGGGAGAAGTGCTTTTGGACAAATTATTATGGGTAGGGCTGTGCGGGGACTAAGGACATGTGGGTGATAGTCAGGATTCTAGCCAAAGGGTTTATGCAAGCTTGCTTGAGGAGGGGAACAGAACAGCCCCATTTCCCACTGACGGTGCCTACAGTCATCTTACCTTCTAAGGTAGAGCATCTTAAGAAGTTCTTAGGGGCTGGGGATGTGGCTCAAGCGGTAGCATGCTTGCCTGGCATGCGTGTGGCCGGGATTCAATCCTCAGCACCACATACAAACAAAGATGTTGTGTCTGTCGAAAACTAAAAAATAAATATTAAAAAAATTCTCTCTCTCTCTTTAAAAAAAAAAAAAGTTCTTAGGAGGGCATGGTTGTGGCTTAGTGCCAGAGCGCTTGCCTTGCACAGGTGAGCCACTGAGTTTGATCCTCAGCACCACATAAAAATACATAAAGATTTTGTGTCCATCTACAACTACAATTTTTTTTAAAAAAGGTTATTAGGAAATATAAATTTTGGGGATTATTATTTTTTTCCAAGAGAATTTTTTAATATTTATTTTTTAGTTTTCGGTGGATACAACATCTTTATTTTATTTTATGTGGTGCTGAGGATCGAACCCAGCGCCCCGTGCATGCCAGGCGAACGCGCTACCGTTTGAGCCACATCCCCAGCCCTTGGGAATTTTTTTAATGCCCTTGGGGTTGGAACCCAGGGCCTTATGCATGCTAGGCAAGCACTCTACCACTGGGAGCTTCATCCTCAGCTCAGTTATTAAGTATTTTTTAAGTTATGTCTTCTCACTAGGAATGGGAGGAAAGAAATCTTTCCTTCTAGCAGCAGCAAGGAGTAGAAGCAGCTCGCCTGGCCTTTTAAAGGACCCACCGTTGCACTGAAATGCGTGTGTCACAAATGCACTAGAAGTTTCCGTTCCTTTCTATTTGGTATTTGAGGGGGGTTTCCAGTTTTTTTATTCTCAAAAAACTCATGTTTGTCTCTCTTTTTTTCTTTTGGAGACTATCTGCATTCCTCAGTTTTCAGAGATCCAGGGAGAGGTCGAGAATCCAGTGGGTTTTCCTAATGAGCAGGATGTGAGCGCTGTCCTGCTCTCTCCGCCTTACCATGCTTGCTCTTACTTTCAGCATACAAGTGCATTTTTAAATGTGGATTTTATAGGCTGCCTGGATAGGACACTGTACTAGCACTTAGGCTTTTGTGAAAAATGACTTTGGTAATCAGTGTGTATGATTCCTGGCAAATGTTTTGGCCCCAGCTATTTGTAAAAGTATTTATCTGTCAAAAACCAAATCAAAGCAAAATCAAAAACAGGAATTAAGGCATCTTACTGAATGTTGGAGGTTCTGGAATGTAAGAAGTTGGAGTTAATTCATATTAAATAAATAATGCAAATAATTGGAAGCTGTGGGTAAGGGAAGGGCAGGTGGAGCAGAAGACTGGCAGAAGTACTCTGAACCTTTGTTTGGCTCCAGAATTTTGTGCATCTTGGTTTCCGTGCATGAAAGCACTTAATGTCCAGGAGAGTCAGATCAGAAATACACCTGTTGTATACGTACAGTTGTGGGATTGTAACTCTGAAGAGGTGTTTGAAATCACCCATCATTATATCTCCATTAGTTGCATCTGCTTCTGTTTTACTCCTGATGTGGGTGACAAGTCAGAACTGTAGGTTAGAACCCAAGTGCCGTCTTGCACATTACACCCCCTAATACAAAAGCTATCCAGTTGGTGGACATAGTATTTAGAGGCAGGAGAGGCCACCAGATAGCTTCTAGTCTCCGCCACCCCCCACCGCCTTAGTCGTCAGTTAATATCATAGCAGAGTCATTGGAGCAAGAGTGACAATAAAAGGGTGATTGGGAGGAGTGGAGGGCTCTGGTCGGTGTGGGCAGTTGGGGTGAGAGGAAGCAGAATGGTCCTAAAAACTAACTCACAGTTTTGCCTAATAACACTTTGATGCAGGCCAGCCTGTTTGGCATGCCCTTATTTATTGATGCTCCAAAATATGAAAACTGAAATTTCTTTATGAGCTCCATCAGGATTGAATTAATGAACTGATTAATCTTCAGAAAATAAATAGAATTCAATTATTCCAAATTTTTAATTTACCTATAGTTAAAAGAAATCACCCTTGAGATAAGTCTTTCAATTAAAAATATAAAATATGACCCCTAATTGAACCGATATTGCTGTTTACTGTTACTGGATGTTTCATCATTATTGTGAGGAGATTTTTATAGGCATAATGAAAACTTAGCAGGCTTTTTATGATCATCTACCAATAGATATTTAGAGCAAACTTAATTTCAGCCTGTTGCCTGTCTTTCCACCTCAAAGCTGGCTGTGCTTTGAGGTCTTTTGCAATGCAAAGAAAACTATCAACAAAAATATTGTTATTTTTGAAGCCAGGTTACAGGAAATTATATTTTTGTAATGTGGTACATTTGACATCTTCTGATTGGAATTTTAAATGAAATTGAAATTAGTCAATAACTCGGGTGATATTCGGGTAACAAAACTGAGCTGTGTTCTGGCACCGTCACTCCCTGGGACTGTCAATATTCGGCATAGTGCTGTTGCAGGCTGATGCCAGACATGGGTCACTTCCTTCATTGCACTGGAAGATACTTTGGACTTGAAATGTCACTGTGGAGAAGATGGGGACAGGAAACCTGTAGGTGCCCACTGAGACCAAGCCATGTTTACAGGTCTGCTGGGAGCCTCCCTGGCTCTTGCCCTGCTGACTTTGCCTTGAGCACAGTGCCAGCTCCAAATGATTGCCCATTGCCATCTGGAAGGGGATTTTATTTCTTTGAGTTCTGAACAGATAATCCCTGATAGTCATGGAGCTCACCTGGAGATTCAGATGGAGCAGGGTCTTCTCTCTGGTGTCTCCCCATTGTGGCCCATTCTGGAGTTCAGTGGACATGCAGAATGTTAGAAAGAGACCTGAGTATGATCTTGTTAGATTCCAGGTGATGCAGGTACATGCCATTGTGGTAGGAGTAGAAAGATATCACAGTCTTTCACCTTGAGATTTGAGCTGTTCAAGAGACTCGGCAGTTTAGTGTCTTTCAAAGCCCTTTTATTTATAGTGCTGAGTTCATGTCCCTCTGAAGTGCATTCAACTGGGTTGCTTTTTTACCTTCCTCTAACATTTCAAGGAAGAGGGGAAAACTGTAGAGCATCTAAGTGTAGCAACATTTTTTAAAAAAATATTTGTTCTTAAGTTCTAGGTGGACACAATATCTTTATTTTATTTTTATGTGGTGCTGAGGATCGTACCCAGTACCTCGTGCATGCTAGGTGAGCGCTCTACCACTGAGCCACAACCCTAGCCCCTAAGTGTAGCAAATTTGATAGAAAATTTGTACACCCCCTGCCCCCAGGGGAAGTATGTGTAGCCACACCCTGAACACAGATTTCAGGTGTGGCCAGGGAATGGCTGGGTAGTGCAGGAAGGAAGAAGACTGCACAGTGAAGGATTTCAGTGGAGCGTCCCCCCAGAGCGCTGTGGATGGCAGCAGAAGGAGGGAATTGTATCATCAGATTTCCTCTTTCCTGGGAAGCAGAGCTCTTGAAGACCCCTGTCTTCAGGCAGCCTGTCAGATTCCTCCAGACTGTCATGACCGCAAAGGTGGCTGGGTGCAAGTGCTGCACGTCTCCCTCTCTCATTGTCCGAGGGTCGGCAATGTGGCTCAGGCAGCATCTAAGCAGCATTTAGCCTTTGAGGTGGTCTCACTTGGAATATTTGGATGTGGGGCAAGAAGAGTTACCGTTTCCATCTGCTGTGGTGTGGCATCTCGTGGGGAATCCCTGCTGGGCAATGTCCTCAGAAGCTCTCTGAGCCCTGAATGCACGTGCCTGGTCACTGGACCATCCTACATCAAACAGCCCAGGTGCTGATTCTAATAATTTGCTAATGATACTTAGCTTTCCTAAGGGCCAGAGTGTGGCCATGTCAGCTGCCAAATGAGGAAGAAAATGAAAATAAATTTATTTTCAAATTAAGTAAGTTGTCTTCAGAACAACTTGTGTGAACTTGACACTAAACAGAGCAAGAGGCTTTTCTTCCTCTGTGAAGCTCTGAAGACTATTGACCTTGGTGTTCAGACACCTGATAGTGGTAGCCCAGGGAACACAAAGCTGCAGCCTCCCAGATAATTTTTTTAAAATATTTTTTTAGTTGTAGTTGGACACAATATCTTTATTTATTTATTTTTATGTGGTTCTGAGGATTGAACCCAGTGCCTCACACGTGCGAGGCGGGCGCGCTACTGCTGAGCTACAGCCCCAGCCCCCCAGACAGATAATTAAATCTAAATGCAAAAAAACACTAGGGAAGTGTTAAAGTATGTAAATCAGCATATGATCCCTAGTAAGGCAGATGAAGGCTCCTGCAGTGCAGGGTTGAGGGTCCACATTCCCCTCCCATGTCCGGCCTCATAGTACGTGCTGAACGACATACCATTTTAAATGCTATCAGTGCTGAGTGATTTCCTAGGGAACAGTGGAATTCTCGGAGGTAAACATGATCCAGATCACTTAAGGCTTATTGATTTTATGATCAGTACTTAGGTTGCTGCTAAAAGCAGATAGGTTCCCGATATACATCAGAAACCTGGGAGGCCTGCCCGCTCAGTGGGTCCTGCCATGCTGTTTCTCAGGCATGCTCTGGCCAGCTCAAGCTAACCATTAGGCTCACTCTTCTGTGGAATGCTAGCCTAAAATAACATTCAGTACCATAATTAAGCTCTAGTGAAGAAGTCTGGGCAATTATCAGAAGATAAAAGGATTTTAAGATCTATTAAAAATTTGAGGCTTGGTACTGTGCAGTCCAGAATTTGTACTTGCACAAACTAAATGTGAACAGGTGGAAACACCCAGTCCTGGGGAGGAGGAAGAGCCCCCTTCCAAAAGAGCCTGTTTCTGGGCTTCAGTTTCAAAGCAGAGTGATAAAGGGGGTCTTGAGCAAAAAAGCAAGAATAGCCTTAGAAACAGAACTTAAGGGAGAATTGATTTCAAAAGGATTATTCTCATCTGTCCATCTGTTTTCAGTAGGTAGCAGATGTTAGGGTGGACTCACTGGCAGGCTGTGAACGGGGCCATCCGCCTGTGAGGTGGTATCATCGTCTCAGGGGATTTGTGGTGTGAGCAGGATGAGGAGTGTGAAGTGCTCTGTAGCCAGCTTGGGTCCAGCAAAGAGAACATGGCTGTAGTAACATATAGCAAGGATTTTTATTGAGTATCTTTAATTTATTTGTTAATTGATTAATCTGAAACAAAATGACCAATTTTGTCTTTACCAGGGCCGGTGGGAAAGTCAACAGGATGTATCCCAAACTACGGTTTCCAGAGGAATAGCTCCAGTCCCCCCTGCCCTCTCTGCTTGTCCCCAAAATAACCACTCGCCAGATCCAGGTAAGTCATCTTTTCGTCTGTCAGTCGCTGATATATGAAATCTGAGCATCTTTCAAGAGTCTATCAGAATTTCTTGCTGGGTTACCACTGTTCTACCAGCGACCATCTCCAGTGTCCCCTTTCTTGTCTTAACGTGTTGAGCTGCGTGGGCTTTGGAGTGTGGATTCATCCTGTGTTTCTCTCGTGGATACCCCTGGATCCTGGAGTGTTGTCCTCTGACTCTATTTGCTATTTCTGTTGGGATTTCTGTGTGTGTGCGCTGTGTGAATATGTACAAGTTTTTATTTTCTTATATTCATATCTTTGTCAGGTTTTTGTATCATGATTACATTAGCCTCGTAAAATGGCTTGGGAGATGCTTCTCATCGTTTTCTGGAAGGGTTTATGTATGATTGGTGTCACTTCTTCCTTAAATATTTGACAGAATTCCCTAGTGACACTGTCTTGGGCCTGGAATTTAGTTTGTGGGAAGATTTCAAATTATGACTTGAATTTCTGTACTACAGTGTTATTTTATTTTTTGTATTCCTTCTGGGTCAGTTTTCACAAGTTAGGTTTTCCAAGGAATTTGTTATTTCATCTAGATTATTAAATTTATTTGCATAAAAATCACATCACGTTACTCTTCTTTTAGGATTTGTAGGCTCTCCCATGCAGTTCCTTCTTTTTATTCTGTTGATGGTTAATTTTTTTCTGTTTCCTAAATACTTTTGGCTACAGGTTTATCAGAAGCAATAATTTCACAGAACCAACTTTGGGCTTTAATTTTGTTTATTATTATTTTCTATTTCTTTGGTTTTAAGAATTTCTTTCTGTCATTCACATGTGTAATTGGTGCTTTCATTGTTATTCTACTCAGAATATTTTAAAATTTCTTTGATTCTTTGAAACATGTTACTAGCATGCTAATTCATTTGTGTATATGTGGGAGTATTTTTATTTCCTAATTAAATTCATTTTGATTCTTGAATATTTCAGTCTCCAGATGTTATAAAAGGCACTTGGCAATGGTATTCTTTTTGTTTTAAAACAGCCACTTGTTGTTGAAAGAGATGAGGGCATAGAGGCAGGTGGCGATCTGCTGTGTCCCCATGTCCGTTGCTTGTGGCCCTGTTCAGCCCTTTCTGAAGACCTTGTTTTTGTCCAATTTCACTTTTAGCCTGAAGAATATCTGTAGTACTTCTTAGTGTAGTTCTCCTGAAGAGAAAAGCTCTCTTAAGTGTCTTTATTTCACTGTTTTTTTTTTCTTTTTCCTTTTAAAAAGGCATTTTGACCAGATAGAGAATTCTGGGTTGCTGGCTTTTTTCTTTTAGCACTTCAGACCTCTTTTTTCTATTAGTGCTTCAAGACCTCTTCTCCCAGGCCCCTCCATGCGGAGAATTCAGCTGTCATTTGTGTCACTTGCCCACATGTAATATGTCTGCGTTTAGTTGTTTTTTTCAGAATATCTCCGTATCTTTGTCTTTGGCGTTGTGCTATGAATTGCTTAGTTAGAGTTTTCTTAGTGTTTACCTTGCTTGGGTTTCACCAGTGTTCTTGGGTTGATGTTTTTCAATAAGTTTGAGAAAGTTTTAGCTGATTTTCATTAAAAATTTCTTTCCTGTCCCTTTCTATCTCCACTCCTCCCGAGATCCTAGGTGAGAGTGGAGCTTACAGTCTCTGGTGGTGTTGTTCCTCCTCCTCCTCCTTCTGCTCTTCTTCTTCCTCTTTTTTAAAATGTTTTCATCTCATATCTTCTGGTTGGATAATGTCTTCTGCCATTTCCAGTGTTCTCTTGAGCACATCCAGGGAATTTTTTATTTCTGCTATTGTTCTTTTCCTGTAGAATTTCCATTTACTGTTGATTTTTTTTTGGTTTTGATTTCTCTGCTGATATTCCCTGTCTGTGCATGTGTTAAACCCATCTTTTTAGTGTCCTTGAACATGATTATAAGAGCTGCTAAATCAGACAAAAGCTCTTATTTCTGTGGACTCCTGTTTCCTCGACTTGGGTCATAGTTAATGAGTTTGACCTGTGTAACTTGCACCCTGCTCAAGTCTAGGAATTTGCATGGTTCCAGTCAGCCCCACTCCCCGTAGCCAGCCACTGTTCTGACTGCTGGAGATTGCTTATGCAGTTCCACGTAAATAGAGTACGCACTGTCTATGCGTCTGGCTCTTTTGTTCAGCACATGTGTTTGTCTTACATATTGTTGCTGGCATCAGTAATTAACTTCTGTTTCTGAAATATCTCACAGTCACAATTGACTTTATCACAATTTTTTTAATATTTATTTTTTAGTTGTAGTTGGACACAATACCTTTATTTTACTTAATGTATTTTTATGTGGTGCTAAGAATTGAACCCAGGGTCTCTCAAGTGCCAGGCGAGCGCTCAACCACTAAGCTACAACCCCAGCCCCTTATCACAGTTTTTAATCATTTTTTTCCTGCTCATAAACATTTGAGTGATTCCAGTTTGGGGCTACTAAGAAGAATGCTTATTCTTGTACAAATCTCAATGTGAACATTTTTTCTGAAGTAAATACTTAGGAGTGAAGTTGCTGGGTTATGGTGCGCCCTAGATCTGAATTCCTTAAAGTAGTTGTGCTGTGCTCACAGTTGCAGGCAGGGCTGAATTGGTTGACATGTTTGCTGTTGGGCTTTGCTCATCTTTGGTCTCGCGTCCCACTCTGTTCTGGGTTTAGTTTCTTCTGTGGTGACACGTATCCATCATTGGTGCTTTCAGCAACTGTCTTTTACTAACAAACCCTTGTTTCTTTTCAATGTTAAAGTTTTTATTTTGGTCTCACTTAGAAACCCTTTTTTTGTGGAAACTATTAAAGGTACAAATGTAGAAGAAGTAACGTGATGTGCTGGCAAACACCCACCTCTTGATTTCCATCCACCCATGACCAGTGTGACTTGCCTATGCTCCCACCTCCTTCGCCCCTTATCTCTTGTGAGATGTGCAGCCTTTGATTGGTTCTCAGCCTTTGATAGGATATGGATCATACTCCCTCTAGAATGTTAGAGCTCAAATTGTGAATCTTGAGATGATTAGTTCTTGTAGCTTTTTTATGTATCTTGAACTTACTTTTCTTTTTTTTTCTCTCCTCTGTTTTTGCCTTCTTGTAAATTATTTGACTTTTCCAAGTTCAACTGTAATGTATCCCCTGGTGCTGGAGCCATCTCTGCTTTACCTTCTTAGAGGTTGCTCTTGTGATTACGGTAGGTCCTGAGCTTTCACAGCTAACATGACACTACTTTGTGTGAACTTTGGAAACTTCACAGCTGTATGAGCCCATTTACCAACCGCATGGCCAGGAAGCCTGGGGCCCTCAAGGTTCGTGTGCAGTGAGGTCTGGGTGCCCTGGGCACCTCTGTTCAGGGAAAACGTCTATTCTTCAAGGTGGCTGCTTGCTCTTTTTAAGCTGTTGTGTGGATATGGTGTTTTAACATTTAGGATTTAAAGTAGATTTTCCTATAAATTAGTAAGGGGAAGGAAATCTTACTACATCACAGGTATCGTCTGCACCTCTCAGCCTAGCCTTTAGTAGCTGATAGCAGGTAAGAAGATAGTTCAGACCTCTCTCTCTTTTAAAAATAACTGAATACCACTGTTCTCCTGAAGGTCAAGTTCATCATCTTTCTTTAGTAAATAGTGATGAGAAACTTGAGTCTGTAGGACTTAGTCATGGACTGAAAGCCTAAAGTCTGTAAGGAGACTGTATGTTGGCAGTTACGTCACTGAAAAGCTGAGCCCCCTTTGATTCTAGGGCAGAAGTTATTTGTTGACGAGGACTCAGGTGGATCGCCTTCTGATACTGCATATTAGGAGCACTGCATATTAGAACCTTCTAGAGGCCCCCAGTTACTGCTCTTTTACTGGTAGTGGAAACACCATGTGTTTGAGGATAACTGATGATACTCTCTTTTTCTAATATTAGTCTTTTAAGGATGCTTTTTAAAATTTATGTTGTTAGATTTTCTTACAAATAATATTTGGCAAACTCGCAAGAAAGAAATGTCTGTGTCATTGTTTTGTTTCATCTTGTGCCTCTCAATCTTGTTGACAGGGCTTGGTAGCCTAGCAGCCTCCTACTTGAATCCAGTAAAATCCCTGGTGCCACAGATGCCAAAGCTGCTGAAGTCCCTTTTTCCTGTCCGCGATGACAGAAGGGGCAAACAGCCACCTCCCCTTGCACATCAGGTAAAAAGCGTCGAGAAGGCAGCAGTGTGTTTTCTGATAGGTCGCTGAAGAGTGACTCTGTCGCTAGAGCTAGAGGGAGAGGGACAGCAAAACGGGGTGTTAAGACTGGGCTTTCAAGCCTGGTAAAAGCTTGTGATAATTTCTCTTCCATTCTCTTCAGAGATAACAGAGCTGTTTAAACTTATTGACACACTCCATCCTTTCTGCTTTTAAAAATGCCAAGTACGCTACTAATGTGATTTATGGTAATATCACTTAGAGCAACAATAGTAAAATTTATGAAGTGCACTTAGTGTTGTTTGTGTATTGCCAAGTAGAAAATGTAATTCTATTTTTAATTCTTGATTTCATTTCTCTTTTCAAACAATTTTATGTCACGACTGTCCTTCCCTTTCAACCTCTGCTTCCTCTACTGTGGATAATCTCTTCTTTTACTTAAAAGTGATCACCTATTTCCTTTTTTTGGCTCTACCTTGCCCTAGAATAAGTGTTGGAGAAAATGTTACAGGGTTTCCAACATGCAGGAAGCTGTTCTTATTCGGTAATGGTGAATGGGAACCCTTGGAAATGCAGTTTCTAGCCTTACATAGGTGTTAGCTCAGCAGAAAGTGATAAACGAGGTTTTACTTACACTCACTTGGAAGCACCAGGACAAGTACCATCATTGGGGGTGGTTTTGACATCAGCACTTCCATATCATTTTTAAAAAAAATTTTTTTTGTAGTGGTAAATGGACAGAACTCCTTTATTTTATTTGTCTATTTTTATGTGGTGCTGAGGATCGAACCCAGTGCCTCATGTATGCTAGACAAGTGCTCTGCTGCTGAGCTATAGCCCCGGCCCTCCATATTCTTTGATGCATTCCAGTTGCAGAAATGCAGGTCAGTAGTTGTCTGAGACTCAACTATTTACAAGAATTTTCTAAGTTTATGAAGGCATATTCAAGGAAAGTGGGGTTGGTTGTATAAGACTGCTGTGTAGATTTGTAATTTTTTCAATCTAGCATTATGTAAGCATGTACGTAAGAATACACATGGAGTGAATGAAAAGACTTAAACGTCGGGATTCTGGAAGTGTTTAAACTATATTCACTGCAGCACATAACGGTGCTCGCTAATTACTGATATAAACTCCTGGCCACGGGAGGGGCGGGGCAGGCAAAGGTGACTCTCCCCATAGTTTGTTGTCATGTGTGCTAGTCTCCTCTTCCCATCAGTGTTTCATGAAGTAAGGGTCATGAAGTGTCTGAGTTACCCAAAAAAAAAAAAAAAAAAAAAAGCATTTTCTCAGCTGGGCTCGGTAGCACATGCCTGTAATCCCAGCGGCTCAGGAGGCTGAAGCAGGAGGATTGCTATTCCAAAGCCAGCCTCAGCAAAAGTGGGGCACTAAGCAACGCAGTGAGACCCTGTCTCTAAATCAAATACCAAATAGGGCTGGGGATGTGGCTCAGTGGTCAAGTGCCCCTGAGATCAATCCCCAGTCCACTCCACCCTCCAAAAAAAATGCATTTTCTCAGACTGCCCTGGTGACCCACAGCCCACCTGGGGACACTGTCTGATCTATATTGACGAGCCCTGAGGTGATGCTTATCACGTGGAGTTTAATAGCCACTTTTTTCTGTGGCTGTTCAGTGAAGGCGGTAATCTAAGTTGAAGGAAGTTGGAATGCCTTTAAAAGTCATGGGATCAGCCCACTATGGTCACAATTATTTTTAAACTGTTTTCAGTTTTTGATGTAGCATGTCAGAGCACCTGCCAGTGGGAACTTGTTTGTACACTCACTGTGCTGGCAGTAGGCGACTGGAGACGTGGAGAGCAGCAGCGTGTCAGAAGCAGATCTTTGGTGATAGGAAGAGAACTGCAGTATGTCATGTCCAGGACGAGAAGTTCACTTGAAATGTGTTACTGAAATATTAGCAATTTATGTTCGTTTACTCAAGTGTATTTATTTTTTGAGCACATATGAGCAAAGGTATTGAGGGAACGGGCCTTGAGCAAATATTTCATAGTTTATAAATATGTGAAAACATAGCACTGAAGCTGGTCTGAATGAGGATAGATGTCCAGTGGTCAAACTCTTTCCTCTGGTTTATGAAGATGCCACTCCCCTTTCTTGGCGGCACCAGCCCGGTCTCTGTCCGCATCCCTGACTGCATTAGCATAAAGCTCTCAGCTGCCCTGCTGCCCTCTGCCCGTCCTCTCTGGCCTTTCCTGGGTCTGTTTCTTCCATCAAGCCTCTGGTGTTCAGTGGCCATCGCTGTGTGGGCATTTTTTTCTTTCTTGGTCTCATTCGGTCCCATGGCTTTACCATAGTGATACAAAGTAGCCAATGGCCTTTCACAGCTTAGGCTGTGAAAACCCCTCAGTCCCCAGCTTGAGACCTTCCTTGGAAACAGAATAGAACCTAAGTTCTTCTGCAGTTGGTACACATCCTCCGGTGCCCTGACCTTTAATCGTTATTTCCTTTCTTCTCTTCAGTCTCCTTGCTGAATTGTATCTGTGCCTTTTTGTCTCACGGGTTCTGGTGCCTGTCTTTCCTTCTGCTGGGAATGCTGTCTCCAGAATCCTTGCAGGGCCAGGAGAGTAGCAGCCATTTCAAGGAGGCATAGTTTACGGTGGTGTCCCTTCACCACCAAACTGAAACAGCCTCCACCAAACACACACACTATATTCTCTTGATTCTTTTTCTTTTTTAAAATTTTATTTTTTGTGTGGCACTGAGGATTGAACCTAGTACCTTACCCGTGCTAGACAAGTGCTCTACCACTCAGCTTTGGCCCCAGTCCCATCGATTCTACTTCTTACTAGGAGTTATGGTTAGATTTATATCTTTGTTGATGTAAACCTTGAGGACAGAGCTTCCTGTGCTGGCTGGGGCCTGACATGTATGACACACAGTATGTATTGGTTGGCTCACCATTGACGTGTATACAGACTGCAATGTCAGACTGCACAACAGTGGCATTCAGTGACAGAAGGGCCATGTTTACAATTAGAGGTGAGAGAATCACAGCTGAGTGGGGGCTTGGGACATCCAGACCTGTTTATTAATTTTCTTCAATAGGAGTGTCACTAAAGAATATTCCTGAAGGCAGCCAGGCATGATGGCACGCAGTCTGTAACTTCCCAGCAACTTGGGAAGCCAAGGCAGGAGGATTACAGGGTCAAAGCCAGCCTCAGCAACTTAGAGATCCTGTCTCAAAGTAAAAGGTAAAGAGGGCTGGGGTGTGGCTCAGTGGTGAATCATCGCTGGGTTCAATATCCAGGACCGTAAAAAGAAAGAATGTTCCTGAAGGAGAGAAAAACTTTAGCTTTTCATTTGGGAATCAGCTGATCAAAGACCCTTGTGTTCCCCTCATTTTACTGACAGTCTCTGGTGAAGCTCTGGGAGAAGTCGGTGTCTGTGGAAATGACTTCTCACAGCATCCAGGCCTCTCCTGCCTGGTCATCTTAGAGACTGAGCCGCGAGTGCCGTGGAAAGCACAGGAGCCGTGAGAGCTGGTGGCCTGCTGGACACATCCTGCCCTGCTTGTTTCTAGTGATCGTCTCCTTCACTGGGCACTTCTGAGTGGGCACTTTTGATGCCTACAGTTTGAGATTCTCACAAAAATATTCTACTCCCCTCCCCCTTGCTGAACAAGGTCTTCTCTGAGCTCTCTGCCGAGTCTGGTTGAGGTGGGGCGAGGTGGTCTTTTCTTCTCCTGGGCCTCCTCCAGGCTGGGCAGCTCAAGAGGTCTGTGCTTTTCCAGATACAAGTGCTTTGTCACCCTGCGTCTTGTCAGGGCCTTTGCATGGTGGGGAGCCCAGAAGGGAGCAAGTTATTCTTGGACTTGAAAATAGTGGAACTCTGTCTTTCTCATCTAAATCATATACTTCTACCAAAGTAGCCTGTGATTATGCCTTTTTTGTTTGCTTTTTGGAAGAAGCATCAGTTCTTTGTGCTTCTTGTCAGTTAACGATGCCGGAATTTTTTGGCGATTTTTCCTCCCGTCAAGGTAGTTCCTTTTCCCTCTTATTATTATGTTGTCTAACTGAGGTGTACAAATGCTAAATGAAGAACTTCAGATTCATTTCTAAAATTTTCATTTTGATTTTTAACATTCCTGGGATATCAGGATCCTTGTGAGTTTTTAAAAGAACATTTTAGCTATCATCTGCACACCTTTTAAAGCTCCCCATCTGCATTCCAGTCACCAATGTTGAACATTATTAGGGACTAAAGCAGAGTCCTGTCATCTGCAAGGAGAGGCCACAGAGTGCCTTCCCCTGCATCAACAATCAAGGACATCTAGAACAAAACAAACGCTGATGACACTTGCTGGCTGACCCTGTCCTCTGCCTGGCTCTGCCATTGCCATGTGCAGGCACGTAAGGGTGCAGGCACGTAACGATGCACCTTAGCAGCAGCTTGGTGAGACTCACCAGCACTGGAGGCTTCCTCTCTGTTCTGATGATCTTTTACTTGCTGCTAATGCCTGTTACACCCATTTCAGGGGTCCCTACAAAATATCTTTAAATTAACATGACCAGACATTTAGATGTTGAGAACAACATCAAGTGTAGATCAGTGGGTGAGTGCAGTGGCGCACACCTGTAATCTTGCACCTTGGGAGGCTGAAGCAGGAGGATTGAAATTTTAAGGCCAGCCTCAGCAACTTAGTGAGACACTGTCTCACAATAAAAAAAAAAATACAAAGAGTTGGGAATGTAGCTCAGTGGTACAGCACCCCTGGGTTGGTTCAAGTCCCATTATTGGGGAGAGGGAATACAAATCAGAGCATATGACTCAAAGAAATTAATTCTATAGTACAGAAGCATATAAATATCATTATTAATATCAATAAGACTTAGAGATAGTAAATAAATAGTAATATTACTTAAGTTTTATAATGTGAAATGGCACAAAAAACTAAAATCTCCAAACGATTTGGGAATACACAGAGACAGTACATGGTAACCAAACAGATTATGTTCATTAACATGTGCATCATTTTAAAAACC